TTGCTCCAGAACTTTACCATAAGGTAAAATGCAAACTTCTCATGGCTAAGCCTATATTCTTCTAACTGTAATAAAAAAATCAAATGTAGCTAAAATGAAGATTATTTTTGAAAAAAGGTGGACTTGTCTCATGAATCAGTTTTGTAAGGTTGTGTTGCAGTTGCATGTGCCTGGGCTCTCTTAGGTTCTTTTGAGAAAGTGTATTTACTAGAATTTCATTTTGTTTAGATGTTGGTGGTTGGTGGCCTGGACAGAGTATATGAAATTGGGCGTCAGTTCCGGAATGAAGGAATTGATTTGACTCACAACCCTGAGTTCACAACTTGTGAATTTTATATGGCTTATGCGGACTACCATGATTTAATGGAAATTACAGAGAAGTTGCTTTCAGGTGAAGTATGCAATATTATTTTAAAATGAATAAGGAATCGGTTATTATGTAGCATACTCTTTTTCTAAACCTCATGTTCCTTTGTAGGGATGGTGAAACATATTACGGGAAGTTACAAGATCACTTACCATCCAGATGGTCAAGATGGACAGACCTATGAGATAGATTTTACTCCTCCCTTCCGGCGAATTAGCATGGTGTATGATCTGGAAAAGGTCCTGGGAGTGAAGTTTCCATCAACTGAGTGTTTTGCAACTGAAGGTTAGATGCTGCGTATGAATGTCCTGTAATTCTTCCTTAACAGGAAGTGGCCAAAAGGTTGCAAGTTCTCAGGCTGCAGTCCGTCAGCTGCTTTTTTTGTAGTAGTACTAACACGTGGGATTCTTTTCCTCTGGTTTTGTTGGTTTACACAAGTCCAGAAGGAAGCCTTCATTCCTTGCCATCTTTGGCAGGATCTGACTCTTTTGGCTCTTTCTTTGTTGAGTATATGTGAAAAGATTTACTCAAGAGGCTTGATGTATGGCGTTCTTGATCTGTTGAAGAGATCCAGCTTTTTGCTTCTTATTTCTTCTCTCATGTGCAGTTGAGTTTCCATGCCTGTAGTTGTAGCTTGGGTGTATGATTATTTGGGGGTTTCTTAAAAATGTAATTATGTGCTATTTTATTCCTGGAATTGAGATACATAAGGAGACAAGTTCATATAATTTATAGTGATTGTTTTTCCCCCCCGGTTTCCTCCTCTCTCCCCCGCCAGTCCCCAAATAATAATGTCCAGCAGTTACGTGGACATAACAGTTTAACTGTTGTAAAATTTATGAAGTATAAAATAACAACTATTTTACTGTAAACAATTAAAACCAAACACCATTTCTGTAGATTGACATTTAAGCTCATGTTTTCTGTGATGTCTACCATTGAGATCTTACAAGTCACTCTGAGAAACATTGAAGAATCTAGTAAGAACAAAAAATGGTTGTTGGCATGGCTGTTACAATTTTCGTCTGCAATTTCAGAAACTCGCAGGTTCTTTGATAACCTTTGTGTGGAGAGAAATGTTGAATGTCCACCTCCCAGGACAACAGCTAGGCTTCTTGACAAAGTAAGTAAAGGTGCTGGTTTTGTAATCCTAATGTCTTTGAGGATCTCTCTGTCAACAGAAGTCTCTTAGAAGATAAAGTTTAGCTGGACCAGGAAAATCATGCTGCAATGCACTTCAGCTGTTGTCATATTAGAGTGAGAAGACTTGCTGTGTCAAAATTTTCTTTCATGTTGTCTACACCAAAATGTGGTTTACTTATGTCTGCTTAACTTAGGGGATCTTAGTTGGATAACTAGTTGCTTGTGGTTAAAACGGATTTGCTTTGTTGTAGTTCAGTTCTGTCTGTGAGATGTGTGCATCTGTATGTAGCTGACCAAAAGGGTAGGAGTACAATATCATTCTATCAGCTGTATTTCTTTGTACCCAAATATTGTCTGATAGCTATTCTTTTGATGCTTTTCCTATTGGCCCTTACTGTAATGTGCAAATTGAATTATTATACAGTTTATGCTGTGTCATTTTTCCTTACCTGACTACGACACACTCTCTGTTGATGAGGACATTACCATAACCAGAAATACTTTGGAAACTCTTCAGATATTTGGTACCTTCTTCAGTAGCAAAAGAGAGGAAATTAGGGTGCTTGGTGAAGGTAGTGCTAGGAATGTGCATAATTGTACACTGCATAATTGTTTCACTTTTGTTTCCCCAGTTAGTTGGTGAATTCCTGGAAGTCACCTGTATCAACCCTACATTCATCTGTGATCACCCACAGGTCATGAGTCCACTTGCCAAATGGTAAGAGTATGACATGTGGTAACTCAAATCACTGTGTAACTCAAATCTACTTAATTTAAAAAAAAAAAAAAAATTGCATATGTAAAAACAGATTCTGATGTTGTATAGTAGTTTGGGAATTCTAACGCAAACCAAGATAGACATTGGTTCCTGAGCTGTGAAACCCATCATCCGGGGAAGAGGTGTGTCAATGCTTAGTACTTTGAAATTTTGACAGCTGTTAGTGCTAAGTGTGAGCAGTGCCTCTAAGTAATGTATATGCTGTTTGCTTAGATGATTATTTTAAGGTTTTGTCTACTTTACACAGGCATCGCTCTCTTCCGGGACTAACAGAACGCTTTGAACTCTTTGTAATGAAGAAGGAAGTGTGCAATGCCTACACAGAACTTAATGATCCTTTCCGACAGCGTCAGCTTTTTGAGGATCAGGCCAAGGTATGGTGTCTTGCTGATAGAGAATGTACTAGAGGCATGTAAGCAAAGAGTATTTCCTATGTCTGTCCCAAATCTGTCAGTAGTACCTACTGCTGAAAAGAGTTGTTTTGAGCGAATGTTTCACACTCAAGTGAAAGCCTATCATTAAAATGCAATTCCTTTTGTAGGAACCTTGCTCTTTAAGGTAAACAAGGTGAAATACTCTTGTTGATTAGGTTTTTGCAGTGCAACTTTGTTATGGAGTATCTTTCCTTTTATTCCACCCAAAGTACTAATCTGGAAAAACACGAATGTGCAGAAAGTTATTTGTGTCTTTCCCAGGGTGAAAGGTTGTCTTTTTTTCCCCCAGCTAAGTATTGATATAGTCATACAACATCATACTTCTATGTTCTTAAATAAATTTTCATGTCCAGTAAGATTTTGAATGCTGTCTAAGAAATATCTTAATTTCCTGAGCAGAGTACTAATAGGTTGACTCAGAGAATAGAGGTGCACATTGGGACTATTAGGCTTGCAGATTTATAATAGTAGATGTCTCTATGTAAGCCTCCAAAAGGAGTGACCGAAACTCATTTTGTTATTAATTTGTGTGGTGTACACAGCCACGAATGCATGCTTGGCCACACATGACTGAGGTCAAATGATGTGGTCTGCAGAAACAGAGTTCCTGATCTTCATGTTCTTTCTAATGGCTTCACAGTGCCTGTGAGGTTTAAACAATTGTCAAAGCCAGGAAAATAGATTTACGTTAACTAACTAATGTGATAGTAAATTTCAAAATGTTCGGTCAGAATGAGTAATATTAGAGATACTTTTAATTTTTGGTCTGTTGTATATATGCTTGTTGCAGTTCCCTCATGCTTATAGCCAGACTTTGCAGACATATGGTTATATGTATTGTATGAAAATTAGCCTCAAAATTTAATGTTAAGGTGGAGACTGAGATGAAGGATGACAGTTTGCATTTCAGGATTTCAGGGAGAAAAATTTGCCGTAACAGTCTTTGCAAAGTCTTCCTTGAATCTGTGAGCAAAAATGTTTGCTGTTGTTTTTACACTTATTTTTGGCTTTTTTTTTTCTAAATTTGAAATGCTGGCTAATCTGTGTTTTTATTATTACAATTTTTGTCAATTGGAGGTTGTCACGGTCAGATACATTAGTTACCATCTCAGTGTAGAGTGTTTTAGTCTTTCTACTTGAGAGGAAAAAAAGCTAGGCCCTATTTGTGGAGCAGCTACTGATGAGTCCACCAATTACACTTCTTTGTTGTTTCTGCAAACATTGAAAGGGTAGTTGCTACCGATAAAGAACCTCCTAAGCCTTTGAAAGCAATTCACTCTGCTGTCATCTGCTGCCATATGGCTCTGAAAGATGGCTTTTACTGAAGTAATGAGTCTGGGCCTTTGCTAAGATGGGAAACTTACAGGTCAGAAAGGAATTGAGTCTAGAGCTATTTTGGGAGCACCTGTACAAGTCTGTTGCTCGTTTGCACAGAAAGCTCTATAGGGCTTTAGTTTCATCAGTTACATGGCTGCTACAAATAGCAGTATTCCTCCGCTTTGGTAGAGGTTGGCAGGAATGGTAGTGTCTAGCTCTCTACAACTCACGTTTTACTATGAATTTCATCATTTAGGCAAAAGCTGCAGGTGATGATGAAGCCATGTTTATTGATGAAAACTTCTGCACCGCACTGGAGTACGGTCTTCCTCCTACAGCTGGCTGGGGCATGGGAATTGATCGCTTGACTATGTTCCTTACAGATTCCAATAACATCAAGGTAAGCATAAGCAGTGGTAGTGCCTTCCTACTGGTGGCTTTGTCAGGAACAGGGACTGGGATTCGTGAAAGCTGGCCATCTCTTCGACGGAACCAGTGCCTGACAGTGGAGCTGTGTGAGATTTTTTAAGCCGCGGGATCCCGCCTGGGAAAAGCCCCTCGGTGCACTTGCTCAGCTCTTTGAGGCCCGCGGCTGGGCAGCGGAACCCGCGCTGGGACAGCTCTCGCGAGACTTGCACACGGGATGTGGTGTTGCCGGTCGGCGCGGCCGCTGACTCTCGCTGTTCGCAGGAGGTGCTGCTCTTCCCCGCCATGAAACCGGAGGACAGCAGGAAGGAGGCGCAGCCCGCCGAGGGCACCTCTGTGTGAGCCTCCAGAGCGCCGCAGGCACCTCCGTGTGAAGCCCGAGCGCGGCGAGGGCACCTCTGCTTGAGCTTCGGAGTGACGCGTACCTTCAATAAAGGCAGCTTTCTCCACGCCCGTCTCTTAGTCTTTTTTGCGCTTGCGCAGGAGCCGCTGGGAGGGGCTGCTGCCGCGCGCGAGAAGCGGCTGCGCGTGCGCGGGCCCCGGGGCGCTCTGCGAGCGGCTCGGTCCCGGGGGTTCAGTTGCCGTCCGTCCCGGCGAGGAGCAGCGGTGCTGTTGTCCCGGCGGGTAGGGAGGGGCATGCGTGGATTTGCAGCCGGGGTGGCGGGAGGTGCGCCCGAGCGCGGCGGCAGCGCCCTCGGACCGTGGACTGCCTGGAGTCTCTCGGCAAGGAGGAGGCCTCGAAAAGGAGGCGGATGGTGCCAGGCGCCTCAGGTGTGCTACAGAGATCTCACCGGGGTGGCGGCGTGATGCATGTGGTTGATGGCTGCGTAGCGGGAGCTTTGGGAGCCCAGCAGACCCACCTGCTGCTGCACTTAAGGGTTCTAGCGTTGTGTTTTATTTCTTGCGATTTGAAAGAACTTATTTCCTGTAAATAATCTTGAAAGGGGGCGATGCAGTTAGGTCTTTGTTGTTGAAATGTGCTGCAGGATGGTGTCATACAGGACAAGATGGTAGCGTTTGAAGAGATGGGGTTGTTATTCCAGTGTTGTGATGGAATCCAATTCTGTGTAGAATCTGCACTCGAATCAAGAGCCATGTGGTCAGCTGATGAAATCGCTGGGCTATGTTACCTGCATTACAGGACCAGACTTCCTAAGCAGGGGAAGCCAGATCCAAACAGGGAATGGACTTCCCTGGCAGCTGTTGTCAAAGTGGAATCTGCAGGCCAAAGAGAGGATCTTGATGGTCCAGGAAACTTGCAGGGTAAGAATTAAGTTTCGGGGATAGTGGTGGGAGAGAAGGAGGGGCAGAGAAGGTTCTTGATGCTTTCTTTTTATTTCCTTTTTGTAAAATGCCTTTAAAAAAACATACATCCCTTCCTATTCCATCAGTCTCTACCCAAATTTTTTACTCTTTGTGATTGTAAACTTTACAGTTGTTGTGATTCACTTCTCCATGGAAAGAGGTGGTTTTAGTGAAATGCTATTCTTCCCAGACTGTAAACAAGACAGTGAAAGCATTCATTTGGCTGTTTAATATGTGGTGAAAATCTAGGCAGGACCTGAATTCCTAATACAAACTCTTGGAAAAACATGTTTAATTTGATAGAATCCAAGAAAGGTTTGCTGTCCTATAACAGGTTTCTACATTTTGTATTTGTGTTAGTTTTTCATCATCTTTTTTCCCTTAGTGGCACTTCAGTGTTCTTAGGCAGATTGTATCCCATATTTATTGAGTGCCTGAGGAATGCTATGGCAGTGTCTGCTGTGTGCTGTCTAGCATACCAAGCCCATATTAGCATTCCTCTTATGTGGTCAATGACCTTTCCTAGCACTAGTGCTTCTGCCTGCTGTATTCAGTTCTTGATCTGTTTCCTTTCTGTAAGGTTGCGTGGTCTGCCTCTCTGTACATTCCTTTCTACTCAGTGTTCTGTGTGTTGTCTTACCAGAATGACTGTATGAGAGCAATGCTTCTGGCAATAGTTAGAGGTGATAGTTTATTCAGTCAATGTTGTTTCTTTTTCAGTAACTAAGGAAGTTGTTGCTATGGGAACTGGAACAAAATGTATTGGCCAAAACAAAATGCGAAAAACTGGTAAGTATGGTATAAAATTCAAGAACGGGCTACCTATACTACCTTCTCTCTTGCTCGTGTTATAGAATCAATGAAAATGTCTAAGGCATGATGTTGGGGAGGATGAATAAATATGATTGCCTGGCAAAACATTTACAATAGTACAGCCAGGATGAAAACAATCCCCCCTACTGGTTGGACAATGCCCTTACCTACAGATAGGTCCAAAAGTCAAATGGACTGTTCACCTGTAACCCTCCCCTGAAACATCAGGTCTCTCTGACCCCATTGGCCTAAGTCTTATTCCAGCCCACCTTGAAGCCCCCTGACAAGGAATCCCTGAGAAGCCAGACGCTCTCTTGGAACTCCCCCTCTCTTGGAACTCCCCAAGAGCATACTGCTCAGACTTATCCTGGATTGAAGCCCAAAGTGTAAGGCAGACCTTCCTTCATCAACGAGAGGGAAGCTTAGGCAGCCATAATGGCTGCCACGAAGCAATGCTGTACTTGCTGCCTCAAAGGTGAATGAACTTTTAATATTTGGAAATGTGTAGTTTAGGCCCCGAGTCTGCATACCCAAAGACTTCGTAACGAAAAGCAAAGCAAAACAAAACATAAGCAAAATAATTGTGCAGTGGAGTTTTGCTGGGGTCTGATGCAAGAGGTTAGCACTGCTGGTACTAACCAGCAGGAAGGTACTAGTAGGGTTTTTCTTTCTTACTGCATATTACTGCTAGATAGTTTTAAGTGTTGTACAGTTAATGTATGGGATAGGTACACGGCTTCTCACAACTACCATTTCTTACTATGTGTTGTAGGAGACTTTCCTCGCTCTCTGTGTCCATTTTTTAATTTATGATGTATCTGTCTCCTCTGCTAGGACAGGGAAGAAGCTGTAGTAATGATGAATGCTGAAAAGTGGCTGAGGGGGCAAAGTGTTCATGCATATGTAGGTACAGGGCTTTCTACCCTCTTTAGACTTCAGAGGAGGACTAGACTGAGATATCAGAAAGGGTTTTGCCTGTATCTAGTTTAGGCTACTTTATGTTCTCTGTAGTGTCCTTCATGTTGAAATTAATTAGTGGAGTAAAAGAGAAGAAACTAGATTCTGTATCATAGATTTTTTGGATGTTTCTTGTGATTTTGCCATCTCAGAAGAGTTTTGATGTAGACATTTTTCTGACTGATTTAGGAAAATGATGATCAAATTGTTGTATCATTTATAATCTAGATAATAAGGGTCTAAGTAGAAAATGGTCTAGGAAAAAGTAACACTAGTTAGTTTTCCCTTGTTTGTCTTCAGTGATCTCAAATTTAGAAAATACTCTCCTTTTATGATAAGGTTTTTCACTTGGTTGTAGGTCATGCTAATGGTTATCTGTTAGATCACTTATAGACTTTTAAAACTGTTAAGGAGGATTTCTGTCACATGGCCTTTTACACCTGAAATAAAAGATGATCTACAGCTCCTGTTCCTTTACATACTATAACAGGCAGATACAGTTCAGGAAAGCTGAAGATGAGATGTGCATACTTAGTAAGTGTCAGGAAAAATAGTTTAAATTGTAGGACATAGTTCAAAAAGAATCTTCAACCAAAAGCTTAACAAACACTTGAAATTTTCTGGTGGAATGTGTTTTGAGAATACCAAGATTTACCCTTGAAACAAAAGTTAGGAAGATTTCGAAGGATGGTCATGTTTATTAAACTCAAAGGGTTTCCAGTATCAGAAGAGTTAAAATTTGGTATTCAGAGAAACCTCTGACTTGCTGCAGACTGAGTACTTTTATCCTTCATTTGTGTAGGCTGTTGACCTCCTTGCAGTACTTTAAAACCAATGGGAAACCATCAGATACTAATAAATGTGGAGAACTGTCCTGTGTCGAATTCAATTTGCTTTGTCTTTTTTTTAGTAATGATTGAATATCTGCATTTGTGTTTTGGTTTAGGAGACATTCTGAATGACAGCCATGCTGAAATTGTGGCCAAGAGAAGCTTCCAGAGGTGAGGCATGAATGAAGTTTTACTCAGTGCTGTAACGGTGCTGTTACTCAGTGCCACCTGAGGTTGTCGTGATAGAAATCGTTTTGACCTATTGCTGAAATAGCCAAATTTTGTAGCTTCACATATGCGAATGTAGTGAAAGACTGCATTACTTCTGTGTGGGCAACACACTTTTTCCTGTTGTCTGCAGGATTTTAGCCTAATTTTTATACTTCTAGGTAGTGTTAAGGCCTTTTCACAAAAGCTTGCTTCTTCCTTGTTCTTCTGGAGCCTCCGTATGAAGAATTAGGATCTGATTTAATGTGGTATCAATGCAGATCTGATGACTGTTAGTTAAGGATAGAATTTTTTGCTCTTTCCCACATGCCAGTCCTCTTGTTTATGTGCATAAGCTGGTTAAGGGTATTGAGCCAGGAGAACAGTAATTCTGCAGAAATGAATACGTTTCTTGCAATTTGATGCCACTAAACTGAGTCTCATAGAATAAGATGAATTGCAGAGTTGATAAAAACACACATAGTGGGAGGAGAGGACCTTTATTTATGCAGTTCGAGATGGTTAACGTTAACTCCACTGAACCCAACTCTTTGAGGTCTGTTATTAAAGTTCCAGTGATGTGTTTACATTTATTATATTGGATACTGTCTCTCTGTAAAAGCATAACTGATTGGCTCCTGATAGACTCCCATCAGGAAAGAGCAAGCACTAGATGGTATTTAAGTTTTGTTGTTTTCTCGTGCATCTAAAAGGAAGTCAGTGTTTCATGAAAACTTTCTGCCTAACAGGTATCTTCTCCATCAATTGTGGCTTGCCACTTCCCATCAGCAATGTATCTTTAGTCCGGGAACTGAAACTGGGAAATGGAAACTCAAACCAAATATCATATTTATTTTCTTCTCCAGTCATACCCCATGTGAGTATGCTGGAGTGAACCAAGTACTTTGCTCCCACTTAGAGTCTTTTCTGCCCCGTGTCTTTCTTTTGTCTCTCTTTGGTGTGGTTTGAGAGTGAGGCAGTAATTCATGTTATTGATATGTGCCCAAAGATGTATTTGACTCCACAGATAGATCTGGCATTTTATTTCACTGGATGTGATTCAGGAGAACTCAGGAAGTCTGATGTATTGTTCATTATATAGTGGAATGTTTCACTTTAAACAGTAGCTATTATTTTTCTTACCAGAAAATAACATACTTGTCAGAGGTATTGCCTAGTTGCTTTGCTTCAAACATTATCTCCTTGGATTAAAATTTTACTAAGAAATACTGACATTTACCACCGTTTCTAAAAGCAACCAAACAAAAGATACCCCCACACCCAGCCAACAACCACCCCCAACCCCGTGAAGCAAACAGAGGAAAAAAAAAAAAACAACCAAATGAGCCCCCAAAACCCCCCAAACCAACAAGCAAGCAAAAAATCCAAACCCAAGCAAAAAGAAAAATGAGGGGGAAGAGCCAAAACTGACTCATACAAAACTCCCCAACAAACTAAAACCACACTCCTGAAAAACAGGAAAAAAAGCCCCATTCATGAAACATCACTAGCTCCCCAACACAAATCTTAGGGAATGTAATAAACTTCTGTCATGGAAAACATTTGTGTGTTTAAAAAAAACATCGCCACAAAGATGAAGATCTGTTGACAGAATGAAGGAATGCGGCCTCATGGTCTACCAGCATATCAGGCATCTTGATGTTACCATGCTCTCACTGGTGTGTTCTTCAACAGCTAGTCTGTTACGAAGCAAAGGAGTTTTAAGAACTCTCAAAATATGCTTCATCAGTACTTCAGAGTGAGTTAATTGCTCATATATTTTCATGATTTTGAGCGCATTGCTGGAATATGCAACATTATCTTTCTTCATTAGTGCATTTGAGAATAGAAATTACGTCTCCAAATTTATTAGTGAGAATAATTTCATTGCCTTCTTTTTCTCATATTGTGAGAAATTTCTCACATAAATCAGCAGGCCTGTCAGATTTGCTTTGCTTTGAACTGAACTTCAAAATTTTGGCTGTGAGCTTGTTTCAGTGATACAGATTAAAGTTTTCACCCTTACTTGACAGATTATTCTTTCATTAATCTTTTGAGGTTCATATTGTATGGTTAGATCAGGCTGGTTTTCCTGTGAGTCTTCAGCACTTCTTGTAGTCTTGTCAAATGCCTTTGTTACCTTTTACTTTATAGGTTGTAAATTTTGCTGTCTTGATTATCTGTTAAATAGAATGCAGAACTTGAATTGAAGCATATATTGTCTTGAAGTTCAGTGAGATTTAATTCAGTGTGGCACAGGACAATGCTGTTTCAAAAATATGTTCTCATAGTTAAGTTTTCCTGAGTGTAGATCTGTGAAAGCTATTAGTAGTTGTAATATTACGGGTATGATGTGTTCCACTCCCAAGATGGGTTTTTGGCCAGTTTTATGTTACTTGTTTTGTTCCAGGTGGAGATGCTTCTATTTTTCCAATCAGTGAACCAGAGAACCAGCTTTCTAAGCCAGTGACTGAAGGTTATACAGCTGGACAAGCAGCAGAATGTAGAAGTAACCATAATCACTTATGTCCAGAAGATAAAAGAAAATCAGAGAAGATGGCAAGGAATTATATAATCAAGAGGATGAAAACTGATGATGGTGGTTGTTCTTCTGTAATCACTGAAGACCTGGGTGTTCAGCATGAATCTGTGGAACGAGAAGACAACACAAATCAAAAAAGCTATGAATGTTCTGCAGAGATGCAAATAGCTAATAAGGAGACTGGCTTAGTGAGACCAATGCTAGTAGATGTTCACAGAACTGGAGCAAAATGTGTACCTGGAGAGCTGGATGATTCCCGAATGCCTGGGCTGGGGTACCACTGCGTGGGATTATTACGAGTGAAGCCAGGTCGAGGAGACAGAACATGCTCTATGTCCTGCAGTGATAAACTGGCTCGCTGGAATGTGTTAGGGTGTCAAGGAGCTCTTCTGATGCATTTTCTGCAGTATCCAGTGTATCTCTCAGCAGTTATAGTGGGGAGGTGTCCATATAGCCAAGAAGCTATGCAGCGAGCAGTTATTGAAAGGTAAGTGCTCTCCTCAGATGGTGCGTATGGAGACAGGGAGCTTGGGAAGACATGTGTCATACAAATGTTAGAACTTTAGTAAGCTTTCGATAATGTGTCTTGTAAGATCCTGATAAAGGATCTGTTAACGTGTGAGGTGGATGAGCAGATGTGTGGATTGAAAACTGTGAATGACTGGGCCCAGAAGGTAGTGATCATTGGGCTAAGTGTAGTTAAAGGTGTAAGGAGCCATATATCCCAGGGCTCAATACTAGGTCCAAACTTAATATCTTCATTAATCAGTCATCTGGATAATGGTGCAGACTGTATGCCCAGATAGTTTGCTGAAGACTCAAGATTGAGAGTGGCTGATTGGCCAGGGCATTTTGCTGCCATCCACAGTGACCTCAGCAGGCTGGAGAAAAGTGAGAACTTCATGGAGTTCAGCAAGGGGAAGTAAAAACCTGCACCTGGGAAAGAAACCGTCCTGTGCACCAATACATGCTGGGGGCTGCCTGGTTGGAAAGCAGCTTCACAGAAAAGGACATGGGGTTCCTGCTAGACATGAAGTTGAAAATGAGCAAGTAGTGTGTTCTAGCAACAAAGAAGGCTAATGATGTCCTGGGCCGCTTTAGGCCAAGTACCACAGTGGGTCCAGGGAGATGATCATTCCCCTTGATTGACACTGGTGAGGCACATTTGAAGGGCTGTCTCTAGTTCTGGGCCTCTCAGTACAACAGTGATGTGGACATACTGAAGAGAGGCCAATAAAGGGCCTTGAAGATGCATAATGGATTTTTAGCATCTCTCATGTGAGGAAAGCTGGGACTACTCAGCCTGGAGAAGAGAAGCCTTGTGGGCATCCTATCAATTTGTATACATACGTGAAGGGAGGTGGCAGAAAAAAGGAGGTGCTAGGCTGTTTGCAGTGGTGTTGGTGATAGGACAAGAAGCCATGGGCGCAAACTGAAGCATGTGGGGTTCCCTTGGAACATCAGGAAACACTTGCTTACTGTGAGGGTGATAGAGCACTGGCAGAGGTTGCCCTGAGAGGTTGTGGAGTCTCCCATCTTTTAGTTACTCAAAAGCGATCTGGACACTGTCCTGAGCAGGTGGCTGTAGATTGCCCATCTGGAGGAGGGGTGGTTGGACTAGATGACCTACAAGCAGTCCCCTCGCACCTCAGCTGTTCTCTGATTTACTACAGTGGTTCAGGACGCATAGTATGTGACAGCTTGCACTGGTCAGCTGGCAGTGGACAGTTGTGTTACACTGGAGAGGCAAAGCTTATATGTATTTTCATGGTGGTACAAATTTTTCTGCTTCTTTAATCTCAGTTACATCCAAGAGCAGATCTTTTTCCTTGCTGTGACTAGTGGAGGTCTCATAACATAACCTGTCACCTCAGGGAGACCTGTGTGAGAGATGAACTGCACTGCTCCAAAATGAGGAAGGTTATCTGTTGTGCACTGGCCCTCTTTCTACTCAGATTCTTTAGTTGATTAAAACTATCCCAGCAACAAGGATAGGAAGTGAATATTTTTTTTACTTGGGAGGCTAAATCAGTAGAGTAGAGCATTAGAGAAGGGTAAGTGGATTTGGGCAGAGTGAAGGGAAAGGAGAACAAGGAAAAAAACCAGAAGCTGAACCATTCTTTTTTAAGCGGTAGTTACTAGACCAGTTCATATGAAAGGTTTGACTTTGTTTAGTAACTCCTTTTCTCTATACCCCTTCATCCTTCTAGAATGATTAGAAAAGTGGTCGTAAGTCTGTTAATGGAGAAACTCTAGTGACGTACCCAGTGGAGCTTTCGGGATAATAATTTTCTCATTCTGTGACATATACAAGAATTTGCCTAGCCTTGTTAGTCCTAGTGCAGTCAGGCACTTTTTCAGACTATTGTATCTGACAGTATGCATCTCAGTCATAATTTCTGCTCTCTGTAAATATTGTAGTGATTAAACACATGCTGTTTTTCCCTTATATGAGCCTAATGTCATTCAGTATGCAATCATAATTTAAGGTAACAAAGATAAGTAGTACATATAGAACTGTAGGTATACTTTGTATGTTTCTAGGCTTTGGTTATAAACCTTTAGACCCATAAAACAGTTCCCGATGTAATGCAGTTGACTATATATATACCTTATGATTTTTATTTTTCTTTGTGATTGAAGAAGTATATTGCAGTTTTTGTCCTGCATACTTAATTGATCATAATAGCTTTTAACTAGACCTTTTTAAAAGCCAATTCATCATATATATATATATATTTTTTTAGGATGGACAAGGTCCTAATAAACTAATGTGGCTTTGGGGTTTTATTTAATAAATATTTTTCTGAAGGGAAAAGTGCCTCCAAACCTCCTTGTCTCACCTATATAACTCATGTTCAGTTTTAATGTAAAAGAAATGTATTTTAGATAATGAAGGTAAATTGTGCAAAATGGTCTTGTTTGGGAAGAGCATATTGAAAATCACTTGCATTTTTCTGTGTTTACTGTAGGTGTCAGCACATCTCATCTTTACCAGATGGTTTTCTCACTCAGGAGGTTAAGCTGCTGCAATCAGATCTTCAGTTTGAACATAGCCGTCAGGCAATTCAGGAAGTTCAAACTAACAGCAAAACAAAACTTGTTCCCTGTAGTGCAGGTAAGTTTGGGCTAGTTGCGTAACTGCGTGCAAAAGTCCAAATAGAAATGAGGTGGGTTTGGTTGTTTGGAATGGAACATCATTCCTTACCAGTATGCTGGCAGCAAAGTATAAAAAGCAAGAAATTGTTTTCAGGTCATGAGTTAATTATTAGTAATATTTGTCTCAGCCTCTAGTTTCCAGTAGGCAGTTTTCAGGCTAAATAAACACTTGGTTGATGGGATTAGGAATTTATAGTTAAACACAGACAGAAAATAACCAGGGGAAAAAAAAGTTGAGTACAAGAAAAAAACAAAAGACTTCTTGTTTCAGTTAGTTTTGCATTCTCCTTGGTAATGAACGAAAGACTTGCCATGCTTAGTTATGTTTGTAATTGCTCCAAAAATCTGTGAATGAAGAAAGAATACAGAGTAGTGTAGTGTAAAAGTCATATTGATAGATATTTTAGGCATGGCAGGTTTGCCATGGTGATGAATGAATGCTTAAATCTCAATGTGATTTCGCAACACGGTCTCATTTGGAAAAAAAAAAAAGTAACTGCCACTTTATGTGCATGGCTAAGTAGTTTCTTTAACTTGGACATACCTGCTTCTGCTCAGACTTTTCTGTTTAAATGGGAACTGAAAGTTTTTCTATTACAATAGAGTTAATGATAAAATAGAATGGTGACAAAGGGTTCCTTAATGGAATTCACATTCATTAAATTGGAGGTATTTACAAGTGCCAGGAAGGAAAGTACTTTAATTTTGTGAGATAGGAAACAAATTTTGTCATTGAAAAATAGTGCCAGATGAGTTGCCAAAAAAGGCCTGAAAGTAGCTGTGACTAAATTTGGTGTATGTCTTTCTTGCTGCACACTTCTCAGGTCATTCTGTTAAATAAAGATGAATGATGCCTTAGCATGGTTTATTTATGCCAGGTGGTTTCTTTCCTTGAAGGAGTAAAAATCAGAATAAACTCTAAATTTAGGGCTGTTACACAGAGTATTGAAAGATGCTTGATAGGAACATGTCAGCTGTCATTTTAAGAAAATACCTTTTTTGTTTATTGCTTTGAAGTTTGAGATAATGATGAAGCAGTGAAAGAATAGGAAATATTTTAATTTTTAAGTAACTTTGTATCTGTTTGTCAGAAACGGATACCCTCTAACCAGATGATGTTTAGATATTTCACCTGTGGAGGATTTGACACCAGTCATGTGTATTGAATGTTATTTCATGTTGCACAGGACTGTAATTTAGTAGAGTGATACAGCATTGTACTTGAATCTCTGTGTAAGAACAATTGGTAGCATACAGCTGAATTGTAATCCAAGGGAGAGTAACATAAGAAGTCTTTGAGCATCTTGAGTAACAAGATAGTCTTGCGAGTTAATGTGTGTGCAACTATTTTGCCTGTTACAAACACAGAGAAGAGGGAGAATTTAGGAAATGGAAGCTGTCTCATGGTAGTGGAAGTTGAAGAATCTGCTCTTACGCTATGGAGAGACAGATTGCACATGTCAGTTTCTGTTGACATGCTGCCGATGCTTTGCTCATTACCTAGAAATTGTAAGGTATTGTACTCAGAGTTTCAGCATTGAGAAGTTTACAGCCTGAGATGATTACAAAGTTCTCAGACTTGGGGTAGAGTTTAAGGCTGTTGGCACTTGCTGTCTCTTTCAACAAATTCTTTTTATTTGGGTCCTCCCTAATAATGTTTTTCAAGTAAAGTGTACAAATATTTGGTGTATGTCAGTTATCAAACATGAAACTCCTTAGAGCACACAATAAAATAATAGTGGTCAACAAATTAAGAAGGAAAACGTAGAATGACTGGTACAAGTAGTTTAGGCCAGTATTTCACAGCCGGATGTGAAAATAAGCCATCTAAGTTGGAAATTTCTTCATGGGTTGTCTGGACAGGATGCACAAAAGAAGGTAGAACTCCCCTAAGATATTTAGAGGCACGGATTGTTAAATGACCGAATTAAGATGAAAGTTCTCTGTTTGTTTTCATTTTTTTAAAGTAAACATTCTTTTACATACTGGAATTCTGGCCCTAGAAAACCATGGTCCTCTTTCTAGTTTGAATTATTTTGGGAAGCAACATATGAACAAATAGAATGAAAGGAACTGTTAGGTTCTGCTTTTGTGACAAGAGCGTCTCCCTTGTTCATAACAATGTCTTCTGCAGCTATCAGTTGGAGTGCAGTCCCTGAACAACCTCTGGATGTTACCTCAGATGGTTTCCGCCAGGGAACAACAAAGAAGGGGATTGGGAGCCATCAGAGCAGGTGTGAGAGTGCTGTAATATCTAAACATGTTTTATTTGTTAGCTAACATGCCTTTGTCAGCTCATGTGATGTTGTCAGAGCAGGAGGAAATCTAGGGAGTGGTGAAGAAAGGGGAAGGTAGAGAGCAGGGGAAAAGGAAGAGTTGCTGTGTAAGGGAGAGAGGGCAGTTGGAATTAGGAAAGTTACACGAGAACTAACAAGTTTATCCTGTTTCTTTATCCCTCTTGAGAACATTGTAGATAATGGTGGTGAGGAACTGTGATCAGTTTTTATTATAAGGATGTTTACTGTTGAAGGAAACAGAACTTTTGCTTTCTGGTTTTGACTGTGAAGGAAATGTGTGCATTGCATGTTCTCTTTCTAGAGATTTCTTTTTCTTGAATAGTCAAGCCAGCTGTCCTGGATGTATGATGATTAAAAATGTAGCTTTGAAACATGACTTTCTGCCTTAAAGTTTGAAAATGTGTTAAAATGATGGCAGCTCACTCCTAACATGAACATGTCACCTTTCTAACTCATCTTGGCACTTGGTTCAGCCAACTTGTCATTTGGCTCTTTAAGAAATCCTATATCAACAATCATAGTTTAAAGAAATAGTTACTTATTTTTCTTGAGGTTGAGAGGAATTAATCATAAGCAACTGCAGACAGATTTCCATGTTATCTTCATTTTAGGTGAGGTGGCCAAAATTGTCATTGTTCTGTGGAAATTCAGCTTGAGGATTGGTGTTCATGTTTTAGCTGTTGGCTGATTATATTACAAAATTATCAGTGGTCATATTGTTCATGTTTCCCAGACTTTCTGGAAAGAGGATGACAATCCTGACAAGGGGTGAATAGCACAGTAAATACAGCTTAGACAGTTCTAAGAGAATTTATTCATTTGCCTGCAAGTTGCACATTCTGAGCTTCCTGAAGATACGCCTGATTTGGCGGAAGTTTATCCTGGTGTATCCTAGTATTTCCACATTTTCAGTGGAAAGAAGAGGATTAGAAACTTTGTGGTTTGTGACCAGTATTGGTGTCTGGGGTATTGCTAGCAAGGTGACCTAGGTGACTTAGTGCATCTTTTAAGACAGGCTCCATGTGCACTGTAGAATATTTATTTTCAATATGCGATATGTAAGTATTCCAGAAGACGTGTGAAAGATCAAACAAACCAGCTAACCCCTTTTTCTCAGTAGGATTAAATTTGTAACATAGCATTTATGCGTCAGCTCTAAAACTTGAGAGCCATCTCCTAGCTGACAATTAGCACAAAAGTGTAAGAACTCTATTATTGCTGAAAGATCCTCTTCTCAACATGTGCTTGAAGTTCACTAAAACTTTCAAAAGTTGTTAGAGCTTACAAGACTGTGTGATAACAAATGTCTTCTTTTCTTAGGAAATCAGAATTAAAAACAATGTCAGTGAACAAGTAAACTATTTGTGCTTTTGAGGTTAACAGTCACAAAAGGAACTTTTATAATGAAAATAAGGAACTTACAGCCTTATTGGGACTGGTGGTGCTTAATAATAAGCAAGACTTGTATTTCAACATTCTTTTTCCTCTCAAGGAATCTCAGGGTGATTGCTAGGAAGTATTGTTTGAGGTTCCTCCCCCCCTTCCCCCCCTTTCCATATGGATGAGAGTCAGCAGTGCCCTGGCAACCAGGAGGGCCACTCTCATCCCGGGGGGCATCAGGCCCAGCACTGGTGGCTAGGTGAAGGAGGGAACTGTTCCGCTCTGCGCTGCTCTGGTGTGGCCTCACCTCGTGGGGGCAGTTTTGGGCACTGGAATATAAGAAGATAAAGCTCTAGACGTCCAGAGGGGAGGCCATCAGGATGATGAAGGGTCTGGAGGGGAAGCCCTACAAGGAGCAGCTGAGGTCACTTGGTTTGTTCAGCCTGGAGAAGGGCAAACTGAGGGGAGGCCTCACAGCAGGCTACAACTTCCTTGTGGGGTGACAGAGAGGTGCAGGCACTGTTCTCTGCTCTCTCATGACCAGTGACAGGACCCGAGAAACAGCTGGAGCTCTGTCAGGGGAGGCTTAGGCTGAATATTAGGAAAAGGTTTTTCACCCAGAGAGTGGTTGGGTGCTGGAACAGGCTCCCCAGGGCAGTGGTCACAGTGGCCCAAGTTCAAGGAGCACTTGGACAATGCTCTCAGGTACATGCTGGTATTATTGGAGTTTTTCTGAGCCAGGAGTTGGACTCAATGATCCTTGTGGAGGTTCTATGATACTATGCCATTTTTGATGTTCTTGAAATTCATGCTAGCAACATAGGAAGACTTTTTTTAATTGATTTTGTTTTCAGTGAGAATCAGCTTGCATTTATTGGAGAACTGAATCTGTCATTGTTAAGACAAGTATACAAAGATAATTAAATAGAGGAAACAGCTGGGCCATTCAAGAGAAAACTAGTGATTCTAGTTGCCTTCTCTTTGGGGAAGAAGAGGGGCTCAAAGCTAACAGATGCATATAGTATCTTCTAAAGATCTTTAAAACTTTGGCTCACTTTATTTTTTGATGAGTCTCTTTGTATTTAACTGCCCTGCAGCTGTTGCTGAATGTGTCCTTGTCACCGTTGTGAAGACGTCAGCATTGTTCCAGATGTTTCTGCTCCTTCTTTTATTTGTTTTGAATAGTACAAAATTTAAGTTTGAAAAAGACTTTGGAGTCCTGTGCTTGTTTGATCTGTTCTGGGACTAGGCCTTCTGGCTAAACCTTACTGCAGCTGTGAACTGATGACAATGCAGTTTCATGCAGATAACAGTGTGATACTAAAATGTTCATTCTGCAAACCGGTTAGTGCTAGCTGGGAGAATGGGGCAATGGAGCTTTTTGTCAATACAGCATTTAAAACTAAATAAAAAGGCATGAGGGCAGCTTAGTGGGGTAGGTAAAGTTAAATGATAGAGAAGTTTTTACATTCTTTGAGACGTGAACATAATGCTTTCTATCAAAAATGTTTAGCTGGGATGTGCTGCTGTAAGGTGGAGTGAATTTATGATTTTTTTTTTCCATCAGAATTTCTAATATTGAATTTTTTTTTATATCAGATCCAAAATCTGTAAAGTGGAATTCTTCCATAAATTCCAAAAGCTGGTGGCAAGTATTTCACAAGAGGATCTACCAGACACTCTACGGTAAAGACATTATCATTGCCTTTAGAAGAGTGAATTTATTTTAATGAAACTGAAGAATACCATAATGATACGGTATCTGCTCATGAATGTAATTTTAGATAAGTCCATTGTTGAAGTTTGATACTTGAAAAATGTGGAAAGAGACACAAGATGAGGAAGTGGTATCTTTTTTGAAAGCATGATCTATTAGATCAACTGTCGGCAGCTCGCTACCCTTGGTGGTATTCAAACCCTGCATCCCAAAATGGCCATGGAGTTTACTGCTATATAGTTGGTGTTCAGTAATTCTATCAAATTCCCCTTCTTTGATTCACCAGAAGGAAGAGTTTGAGTAAAAAAAAACTTATTTTCCTTTTATTTTTTTTTTTAAGTTTAGGTTAAAATCAGTTTTAATCTTAGTGTATGGTGGAGTAAGAGCTAGTAAAGTGAGATAGTGCTCTTCCTGCATTTTTCTCTCATATGGTTGGTAGGGATAGATAGGGCTTTTTCTGCAGCGCATATGTTGTATAAACAGAGACCTTCTGGAAAGAAAATAAAGCAGCTTTTGTCTGAGGAAGCCATAATTGGAATTTTCCTTTGCGTTATTAAATACAAATTTGGATTATCAGACTGGAGTTAATTACTTCCAGTAATCATCCAGTATGGCATAGCATTAGGTGCATTATGTATTTGGTGGTATACTATAAAGTAAAGCATAGTTTCACATGTACAGAAACTTGGTTCTCTTTGTTTTAGAGACTCTGGGAGATGTAGAGAGTTCCAAATTCATTGCCATAGAAGGTTTATTTTATTTTAGACTTACTTCCAGATATAATTTCACCAGCTTTAGGATGCAGTTATCCCAACTCTTGAGCCAGTTTAACTGCTTTTAGCTACTGATGAGGTGGTTCCACAGCAGTTCACTGCTGCTACTGGCTGTTGATTCCTGTTTCCTCCCTTGTATCAGCAGCACCTCTCCAATCTCATGATGAGCCAGTTCAAGTAGATAATGTGGCTGAAAACGATTTCCTTGTCTTTGTTTTCTCTTGGACTAATGAACTTAATGGAAATCTGAAACTGATAACCTATGCCAAGGAAGTAGGAGGCATATGTGACTGAAAGTAGGGGAGATAGGCCATTTCAGCCTTTCATAGTACTAAGACAGTAGATGCAACAAACTTAGACAAAGTGCACCCTGGATCTTTAATTAATGGGTCTTGCTTGCTTTTGAGTTTTGTTGAATTAAAGACTAGAGTTACCTTCTGTGTCTATGGAAGACTCTCAAAACTGTTTCAAAGTTCCGATGTCAATATGGACCATGCTATTGCTGAGATGCTTTCAACTGATTCTATAAGTAGAGATACTTTGTCCTTAAATCAGTTTGAAATATAAAATTTTTAGCCTCTTTTGGGTGGGAGTTTGTCCTCACTTGTTTTGCTATCATAATTTCTTCAAAACGTACTGTGAACTTCTGCATTGTTTGGTATGTGACTCATTATGCTGATCACATGCTGCTTACATAAAGTCACTTCACCTCAGGGCTTTTCTAGACCATTTGCCTTGTTGTTTCCTTTGACATTTTGTCCTCTGCTGTTAGCCTGTCTGGGCTTCTCCTGACCAAGTCCAGCTGATTCACAGATGTGACATTGTTTTTACACTGCACCAACTCTATTTATACAGAGGAGGTGCTAGCTCACCAGTCAGCTTGTGCAGCTGATTGCCTTTGAAGTCTTTAGTTTTTACTCCTCTCACTTAAAAAGCAAAATTAGAACGTGTCTTCGTGATTCCGTTTCCTTAATCTTCCTTTTTTTTTTCCCTACATGGTATTCTGATGTTTTGATTTTTCTTTTCTCCTCGGAGTCTGAGTTTGAGGGAAATTTAGATAAGAAATCCTACGCTCTCAAATTGTTTCTTTAAACTTCAGTGAATTTAACTGTTACTAGTTTTGTATTTTCTTCACATCCAGATGTATCTTGTTCTCTCTTCCCACAAATGGTTAGCTCTAAAGCTGTGCTATGGCGCAGTTTCCTTTTTCCACTTTGACCCTAAGTTCCTTCCCTGACTATTCTAGTCCAGTTCTCTTGCCTCTCATCCTTTCTGATCCATCAAGGAAAGCTCATTCTGTAGTACTTTCAAATTTGCTTAACAGCTTGTTTTGTAGTTGTAGGGTATATTAGGACAAGGGTTATGCTTCTTGTAATGCTGCCTTCATTTACTGTTGTCCATTGTCAGACTTAGGAACCAGGAATTTAAAGCTTTGCATGGAACTGATTCTATTCTGATGTTCTTTTGGTTTTGTTTTTTTGTATTTGGTTTTGGTTTTTTGTTTGGGGTTGGGTTTTTTTTGTGTGTGTGTGTGTATTGGTGTGTCTAAAGTTGCTTCTCCTGCTTTTTGTGACTTACTCATTCTTCACGTAGAGAATCTGTGTGGGTGCTGTTAAATTGGAATAGGTAGACAGCCTACTGAGGCCAGAACTTCGCTGGTTCTTCTAAACGGCAAATTTAGATATTTATAGTAGTATCTAAAGTGTTAAGCATGACATTAATCTATTTGGGTTTTTTAAGGATTTAGTTTATTTGCTTTCAGATGACACTGAGAAGGAGGTGGTGTTTGGCTGGTATGAGCTACTTCACCAAGAACCAGCTAGTACTCTATAATGCTGTCCCACGTTCTTTCTTCCTTTGCAATAATTCTTATGATCTGTCTTCTATGCCTTACTTAAATTCTCACTCCTCTCTGTAGGTAGACTAATGTTGTTTATTTATTACCTGTTACCGCCACCTGTCGTACCTAATGTTCTTCTGTTGATTCCCTCTCACATGTTACCATTTTGGAATTACTGGTGCATAAATCCATCTTTTTTTTTTTTCCTTTTCATGTTTTCCATGCTCAGTGCCAAGGGAATGGTGACACACCATTGGACAGTGTTGTGCTATTGCTAATCTGAATTGTTACATAAAATCCTCTGCAGTATTGTTTGCAGATCACTTGATGGTAATGCGACAAAGGAGATTTTTTTGCATCACTGGGTTTTTTTTTTTCCTTGCTGTTTGGAAAAAAACATGCCTTAATCACCACCTGGGGAAGTGAAAACATTCTCTTGTCATACAGTGGCATCCACCGTAAAGAGTCTCCAGACACTGCTGTTTTTACAAGGTGTGGCTGGCTATATGGCCCTTTTTTTGAATCTAAGGAAGACTTTCTAAAATAAACCTGCCCTGACTTCCTTGCTGGGCTTATTAAATGAATGACTAATCCTCATTTCTCTTAAATTGTAATCAGGAGCCATCACAATTAAGATTGTACTATTATTCTTCCTTCCTGCTCAGTTCACAGTATGGAGGATTCAGTTCCAGATCCAGTACAGATAGTGGGGTTCTGTGACCATTCCACTGGCCAAGTGGGGAAGAGTTCTAGTGGGGCCCTTACGTGGGACTTTTGAGAGCAGCTCACAGGTTAGTTTCACTGAGTATGATTAATGTGAAAGAGGTGGAGAAAGCAAAATGGATTGACTGTGATAAGAGTGCAGGACAGGTTTTTTAAGAGAGAATATATCTCCCGTATTCAGCAATGGCCTAGACAGGTGCTCCACTCTTGCACCTTTCTGAACGCAAGGTTTGAAGGATAGGTAATATGGCTTGCAATAAATTCATGGCAGAATGCTGAATGCCTCAAACACAGCTTCTGATGGTCTGCTGTTGTGGTAGAACTGTGGGGTTTTTTGGGGGTGATCATTATTGCCTTTGAGCCCAAAAGACTGTTTTAGAAGTTAGTGCAGTAGTTCTCAGACCTCACAGATTAGGGCTCCTATAGTAGTTTGGCTCTTTCTCTTTCTTGGTGAAGGTCATGTTGCCTATGATCTTCCCTTCATATTGGGTTTAATGTATAGACATTGCCTATCACATGTGGCAGACAGCTGTTTTGGCAAAGGAAGGTGAAAGAGGCTGGGGACAGAATGCAAGGAAAGGAAAAAAAAAATCTTGATGAAGTTGTCTTACAGGCACTTTTGTTCAGATACTCTAGACCTGAATTTTCCTGTTTCAAAAATCATTGGTATAATGTACTCAGCAGAGTGACCAGTTGTTCTGCTGAGATCATGGAGCATAGTTGCTACTTGAGGAAGAAGAATAACACCAAAACTGATGTGTCTCTTTTGCTTTAAGGAAAGAAAAGAGAGTATTTTCTCCTTTGTCTCATTCTTCTCTGTTAGTTTTTTGTTAAAAAAGAAAAACTGTCCAGTTCATTCTGTCCTTTTCCCTTCCAGCCAGTTTTCTAGCATGCTAAGGCTACTTCCACCCAATTCAAAGCACCCTAGCTACCTTTTCAGCTTTGCTTCAGTGTTTTTTGCTGTCATGGAAGTTTTCTGTAACCTGTAGTCATACAGTCAAACACAGACGTTTCTAGTGCTAGAAGAGTTGTTTTGCTTCCTTTTGTAAGATTGATGATGATGTCCATCTTTAAAGCCTGGGCGTCTCCAAGTCTCCCTAGAAGAGAATTTCAGTAAGTAGCATGGAAGAGTTCATAGGAGAGCGTCAGATCCTTAGATGTTTGATTTCTGTTTTCATTTTGTGACCTCATATTCAATAGGATCATAGAATTGTTTTCATTTTTGTGCATTTTCTGTCAGGATGAAGACGCTAAAAACCTACTGGGACTACAAGGAAGCTGCATTAAATTATCAAGAAGCCTGGAGAGTGCTGCGTAGCCAAGCTCTGCTGGGTTGGGTCAAGAATGCCAAGGAATACCTGCACTTCACATGAGAATCCATGTGACTGTGTGAATCCAGGAATAAGCTCTGGTCCACAGCAGATACCTCTGCATTTCAAAGGCCAGAAAAACACACCCTCTAGTTCATGTGCTGTGAAGAGGCAGGTGTGAAAAGGAAAGCAGTTTAGAGAACTCTTCTATTTTTACTGAGTTGAAGCCTCTTTTTATTGAAATATAGAAAAGGATCATTGCTGACTTAAAATTCTGAGCTGCATGAAACAATATGCCTCCAAAAGAAAGGAAGCAGTGATGTGTTATCCTAGTATCTGAGGATATGATCGACCAGCCATAGTCATTGCAGTGAAAGTAATGTCAACTGAAATTCATGCAGTACTATGGAAAAATTTAGTGCCACTTTTTTTCTTCCACTTCTTGTAATGTTGTGGTTGTTTTCTGGGACAACCCTCATGTATAATAAGTAATACATTCATAACTCTGAAGTCTTGTTGTCTGGTGCCTTGAAGAATTTTCTATGTCCCCCAGCTCCATTGCTTCTAATCGAAAGAACTAGTTCTGTTAAAGTGTCTCTTTTTTTTTTTGGGAATCCTTCATATATGCTGCTATTTACTAAACATAGCCACAAGATACTGCCACAGCAGAAGCAAAAGCACTGGGGAGGAGTCTGTGTCAAATAATACTACTTATGATATCCTGTGCCTCTCAATTTCAGGACTTTGCCAGATAACATTTCAACTGCTTTCCTTCTGTAGGCAGGAAAGAAAACTCCTGAATTACTTGGTTCAAATTGGCCAGTCCTGTGTAATTACAGGCAAACATTTATCTACTTTTCAGTGTTTCAAGCACTGTCCATCTCCGTGCCCCTCTGTGGGAAATGGTCAGTTAAAAGCAAAAATGCCTCAGCCATTTGTCACTGTTCCTTGTGTTCATTAATAGCCTGGCAAAAGTGGAGAGGCTTTGAGGAGTATTGAAAGTAGTCTCTGGCATGTACCTTCTATTCTCTTGTCATTATGCTTTATTACCAGCTAACATCTGTGTGACAAGACAGTCAACACTGTGAGCAGTTGTGGGGGAAGCAGTGTGTAATCATCCTTAAACCTTCTGTCCCAGTTACTGCCTTTTGTGAGCAATTTCAGGACTGTGTAACTGCTACTGAGCACATTCCCCTTTTGTATTTTTCTCGTGTAAACCACAATTCATAAAATATTTGGACGAGGCAATGTCAAGATGAAAGAAGTGGATAATTTTGAACTTAAAAAGTCCTTAGTGATTTGAATTTTTTTTGTTCTTTGGTATCGTATAGTTTTGGATTTGAAAAATGGGCACAGCAGTTCTCCAAACAGCCTTTGTTGTCAACCTACTGAGCTACATATGGGACCAAACAGTACACATAACATTACAGTATGAGAAGTGATAGCAGCAAATCCTTTTTACTTCACACTTAGGTTGACTTGTCAAGTAAGAATAGTTCTCTTGGTGAAGAAGTAACAACTTGAATTCTGTGTGTATATGCCCATTCTTTCAAATCCAGCACTAACATGCAGAAATACCAGTTGTACTGGTGAGGGGGAAGTAGTTTTATGTGTTTGCAGAGGGCAACGGATTATGGAGATTAGGGACTTGCAGTAGTCATCAGAGGATAACAAATGGCCAGATGCCATTGCACATGGGCTACAGGCTGAACTGCTGAAGAGAAATGGTAGCTGTTCCTGTAATCAAGCAAGTAGCATTCCAAGGATGGGCAGAGTTCTATAGTGTACCTGAAGAGCTATCAGTAGATTTCCAGGATCCTGAAGTTTACCGTTGCTGAAATCTTGTAGAAATTAATAACTTACCATCCCTAGTTTCCCACAGTTAATCAACCATGTCTGCAGTGAACCTGCTGACCAGACTGGAATGTTCCCATTTCCTATCCAGCTGCAATATTAAAATGGGTTGTGTAAGACTAATTCTGTAGTCATGCATCAGTTTTCAGATAAGCAGTTATATGGTTTAAATTCTTTTAACTATTTTCTAAAATTTGAGCCTGGCTGTTAGGATTGTTCCTGGTAAGACTTTTTTGTGCATTTCTAAAATACTTGTGAAATGTAGACTGATGATTTTCTGCTACCTGTAAGGTTTAAAAGTAGTTTTTGAGGTGCTGAACACTGATGCTAACCTCACTTCATGCATGGACTTGAGGACATACTTAAGCCTAGAGCAAGTCAGTGAATATGTGAAGAGAGGGAAGGAGCTAAAATAGAACAGAATTTAAAAGGCTGAGGGGCTAAGCCTGTGGGATTTCATCCTCAACTGGATGGCATTTCTGTAACAGAAAATCAGTATTTAAATGCTGCATTAGTTTCATTTGAAAATGTCAGGAAATGCTGTTAGCAGTACCATGAAACTGCTTTGAAAATCAGAAGGGGAAAAATGCAGAGATCGGAAAGAAAAGTTTCTGCTTTTGTAATTGGTAGCAAACTACGCTTGGATCATTGTCAGCAGGTCTTTGGAAGAATTGCTCCTGGAAAGTAATAGGTGACATGTCCCAAGCCTGTATCACTCCTTTGCGCTGGAATAGCTGACACCCCAAAAATGAAGATAGGCAAGGCACAGGGAGGACAGCAGAATGCAGAGACTCTGCCACAGGAGAGCAGAGTTAGCAGAGAGGGAAGCAGCAGGAATGAAGTGCCCACACTGCATGGTTTATGAGGACAAGCAAACAATTGGCAGCGGGAGTGGCAGAGCACAGGAGGGGCACCAAGATTCTCATTGTATGTGTAAAATGAGAACATCTGTATTACCCAGATAGGTCCTTGCCTGTCCCAAACTTGTTTGGGAACCAATGGCTCCTAATTGCCAGGACAAAGAAACTGTAATCGAGTTCCATGTCTTTAACAGCATCACTATTAGAGGTGTCATTCTGTTTTCAATCATAGTAAGAAGGCAGGACAGACTGCTTATCTTTAAGGAAGTCAAAACCAGAGCATAGAAACAAGTGGTTTTGTCCAAGGGTAGAAGTAATCGTGTTGACCTTGAGGCTGCAGTTCTACAAGACCAGATGCTAACATGCCACTGTCTTTGGAAAAGCAAGGTTTTGATCTTGAAAGTGTGCTTCCACTGCTCACCTTAACACAGGCTGGAAGGCTTCCTGATCTCAGTACATTGCAAGTAAACTGAAGACTATTTAAATTACTGTACTTGCAGAAAAACAAACCATGAGCCCAAAACAAGATGCAGCCTTTTACTAGGAGTTACAAGACCTCTGCAATAAATCCATTAAGCACTAGAGGAAAGGAAGAGCTAGGGTTGTGCTGCTGAGGGCAGAATTCTGTTGGCAAGGAGGAAAGAAAGGTGTTGGAGTTTTCTTGCAGACTATCTGGTAACGTCATAAGAGGGCTGTAGCAACTATAGGTACATAATATATACAATTAACACGTATAGATGTAGAAGCAAGATGTTTTTTGAGGAAAGACCATCCAAATGGTCTGAATTTGGTCTGTAATAATGTCTGTAATGTAATCATGGTCTATAATCACTAAATATTGACTGAATACTAAATTCATTCAGTACTGGTTTAGTTATACTGGAGATGACATTTCAATTTAGCTTAGAGATAAGTGACATGGAGGTGTTGCTGTAGGAACAGTGAGGTATTTCTTCATTTTTTGTTCAGTGCATCAATTGAAGGGTTAACAGAAAATGAAGATCATATGGGCTCAAATGTTTATATAATTTTACAGGAGTGTCCTATCTAAAGGGATGCATTTCACCTCTGCATTTCAAAAGGAAACCTCTTGATGTTTTATTGCCATTTTATGTGGACCACCAGATGAAAAGTTAAGTTACTGCTGTAGAATATTTATCCTTACATTCTCTGTAACCACTTGCATGTCTGGGCTCCTAAATCTAAACTAATAAATACAGAGATGTTAAAGAGAGTAGTTATGTGGAGGGTTTAGGAGCTTATGAAGGGAAATCGAAAAGTTGCCTCAATCATAACATCTTCCCTTGGTTTTAGATACATCTGTTTACTAGCATGTAATTAACTTTATTTAGCATTTTTAAGTGTTTCTTACTCCTTTGTTAACAGCTAAGAAAAAATATTACTTGGTAACAGTAGAAAAACGGTAACATTTCAGCATAAAGGAAACAGTATATTTTCCAGTAATAAAAGGTAATTTAAAAAATGACAGGTGAAACTACTTTTCTTAATTCTGAATCAAAAATTCTGTTAAGAGTAAACATTAATGTGTGAAAAGGGAGATAGAAGTAATTCAGGATGGAAGCACTGACAGAATGTTTCCTAAAGCAGTGGTTTACAATGCAGCACTATTCTGACTAATGAAAGGCTTACTGAGATCAACAGCACATTTTCACATGCAGTAAGCACATGCATCAGTTACTGCGTCAAGCCACAGTAATAGGGTAGTGTCAACCTTTCACAGGCTCCTACGCTCACATTTTATAGTCTTTCTGCCAATACTTGTGAATGACTGCAGAGCTGAACAATTCTAGGCATAATGT